ATAAGTAAATAAATTAAATTAAATAATTCTTTTAAAAATCTTTTAAAATCTGTGCACAGGTTTTTGCCATGACGTGCATTTTCCACGAATGCGTGCTTGTATGCTCTACCCTCTCCACACTCGATCTTTTTAAAAAATTTTATTTATTACTATTATTATTTTAATTTTGCTGTAGGCGCATGTGCTCACCAGAGAGAGACAGAGAGAAAGTGAGATAGCAAGCCACCAGGTCCAGGACTTGAACCATGGTCGGCCATGTGGAAGTCCAGCACCTTAACCACCCCACTACTTGCTTGTCCCCATACTCAATCTTTAAAGCAACTGTGAAGGTTGGTGTTTTCATCCCCACTTCAAAAATAAGAAAATGGAGGTTCAAAGAAGTAAAATGAAAATCCCAGAACGGGTCGCTATTATTGCTCAAAGGCAGAGCTAGGCTTTGAACCTGTGTCTGCTGCACCTGCAACTGCGGCTGACCCATTCGCTTTACTGAACTGGATCTGAGAGCTGACAACATTCCAGCATCCAAATTGGTCTTAGAATCATTATATAAACAGCATACAAACTTTCAAATCAAACAATGGAACATACAGAAAGTAAACCCTGCCCCCAGAGAGGTGCTGAAGGCAGCCCTGTGGGGTGGCAAAGCCCTGGAGTGGGGATAGGGGGCGTGGCCTCCAGCGAGGCCATGGCCTCCAGCGAGGCCATCACCAGGGGAGCCAGAGGACAGTAAACCCTGCCCCCAGAGAGGTGCTGAAGGCAGCCCTGGGGGGTGGCAAAGCCCTGGTGTGGGGATAGGGGGCGTGGCCTCCAGCGAGGCCATCACCAGGGGATCCAGAGGACCCTAGGCAGGCTTGGCAATTCACAGCTAAGTGAGACCCTCAGAGACACTCAGACAGCCTTGGGCTCCAGGGTTCTCAACACAGGACTGCCTGACATTCCTATGAGGACCAAACTGTCCCCCAGTAAGAAGCTACAAGTTCAATTCAACAGTGCTAGCTGAATTAATGATAAAATCTTTTTTATAACTGAGAGGTGGGTTTTAACCATTCATTCCTATTTTTAAACAAGGATACCGAAGCTAAGAGAAGTCACACGGCCTGCCTGGCGTGCTGGAGCTGCAGGTGGGAGATGAGGAGTCAGCTCTCCAATGTCCACATCCAGACAGGGCCCGAGCTGTGCCGCTCAGGCTACGGAGCCACACGTGGCCTGGGTGTCTGTGAGCTCCAAACGAGAGAGCTACGGTGTTAACGCCGAGGCGAGGCAGGCTGGGCGCTCTTGGTGCCCAGAGAAAGGGCCAGTGATCCTGAAGGAGGATCCAGGGAGGGGGTTCCCAAAGGAAAGAACACACTGGCCAAGACGAAGAAAGAACAGGGTCTGGATAAGACGAGAATGGGAAAGAATGTAAAAAGCAGGACTCGCGTGAGCAAAAGCTGGGAGGTGGGGAAGCGCCAAGCCAAACTCAGGCTGCAACAGGCTTGGGGATTATTGACCAAGAGACAGAAGGAAGCATTGCCAGAGGCAGGGTGGGAGGGCCCTCCAGTACAGGATTCCAAGGGGTGGGGTTATGGATTTTGCTCCTGCAGTAGGGAGCCCGTGAGGTTTTGCGAACAAGGGAGTGGCCTGGCCCGGCCAGTGACAGGCCTCAGGAGCAGCTCAGGCAACCTCTGCAGACTGGAAACAATATTGGATCAGTCCTGGTCCATGCTACCTGACACCTCGGATCACAGGGTAGGAAATGTCTCCTGAAGTGCCATTTAGCCTTAAGGCAGCCTTTTTACTGTAAACCTAATCTTAGAAAAAAATGACCAGTTCAAGTAGAAAAATCTCCCAAGACTCAACTTGCAAACATCTGACAAGCAGCCACCATCCCTCCCCAGGTATTTGCACCCAGAGCTGGGCCTTGCAGTCTCCCAGCAAACCCCAGCCGGGCATGCTCAGCCCAACACGCTAGGCCGACCACACTGGACAGGGCATAGTCTCATCTGCTCCAGCTCAGACCCCACCCTGGGCCGTCTGTGACCCTTGGATGAGTGTCAAGGTCATCGTGGGTCTGACACTCAGATGACAGAGGTCGCTCACACAGGTAGGGTAAAATGTCACACACACCAGTCAAAAGGCAAGAGTCCCCCAGTGTGAGGCGACTCAGCATTGGCCGGGCACTGGGCAGATGCCACACACATCCATAGGCTCATCACCCGCCAGGGCAGCGGTGCTCACGCCACCTTAAGGATGGGGAAACAGGCTCGGAGCGGCCAGGTCAGACAGCTACTGAGGCCCGAGTCAGGAGCAAGCCCACGCCTGCCAGGCCCTCGTGCCAGGCTACAAAATGGTCAGCGAAAGGAGGAAGTGAGTCAGGCAAAAGAAGCAGGGTTCCTTTTTGAGTCAGAACAGGATTTCCCATCACACACCCGCCTGGCTGCAAAGACAGACCGGGCGGGGATGAACCCCAATGGCTCGGGCTGGCTGGGTGCCCAACCCAAACCAGGCCCCAGGCTGTGCATACCTAAAATGAGGACACCCCGCCAGGGTTGCAGGCTTACTGTGACGGCCTGGGACACTGTCCTGGTAGTCACTCCGGGGCGCACGGCTGGAATAAACCAGAAGTAGCCAGAGACAGCAACTCCAGGCATGGGGCCCGAACCCAACTCCAGGAACTGACTGAATGAACAAAATCTAGGTGGCTCTCAGTTCTCGCCTGTGCCTTTTTGTCCCGCCCAGGCGGGCGAGTGAGGGGCGTGCCCTTTCAGGACCCTGAGGGAACCTGCTGAGATGGGCGGTGGCTGTCTTCCAGCTAGGAACCACACCAGGCCTGATTGCTCTCCTCTCCATACCTCAGCCCCTTTCACGACAAAGCTTGGTCCAGCGCCCACTCTGTCCCAGACCTCCTGGTGAGCGCGAGCTCACAGAGATGAACAGCTCCCCTTCTGGGTGACCCAGCGTCACAGGTCTCCTCTGGGACGCCAGCATCGTGTTCAGGGCTCTCTGACAGCCACGGCCCCACTCTGCTCCACCCCGCCGCAGTCTCTACAACTCTGCGTCTCTCAGCACGAGACCTTCTGGACGTCACCAGTTCGGTGTCCCGCAGAAGCACGTGCTAGTTCACTTTTCTTCTCTCTTTTTGTGGAGACTATCTCGGGGATTTCAACCTGCTTCTTCTGAGATGTCAGGCTCCCGAAGGGCTATGAGGCCCCTGAATTTTATTTTTTTTTTAAGTTTATTCATTTATTTTTTCCATAGCCAGAGAGAGACAAACACACACAGAGTGAAAGACATAGCACCCAACACACGTAGGGAGGTCTCTGGACTTGAACGGGGGTGGCTCACAGAGCATAGCATTTTACCATTGCGCCATCATCTGGCCCCACCCCCTGAAATGTTTTGTTTTGTTTTGTTTTGTTTTTTAATTTGCCAGAGGCTGTGTGTGCTCATCAGAAAGGCAAAGAGAGAGAGAGGGAGGGCGAGCAAGAAAGCAGTCCGCAGGACATGGTCACACTGCAATCCCTTTTCTTTCCTTTCTCCATCCTGGAAGATTTGGGGCACGCACACACATGCGCCCAGTTTGTTGATTTCAAACCACCACCGGGGACAGGATTTGAACCACATGGTCGGCCATGTAGGATTCAGCTCCTTTAACCACTAGATCACAGGGCTGTCCCACCTCTCCGAATTTTAAGCAGTGTTGCGTGTGGCTTCTATTGCCCTGGTGAAAACATCCACCGTTCTCATCAGCTCCCTCGAGGCCCCCTGACTTCAAGAGGACTAGGACCCCTTTCCCCCATGCCTGCCCCCACACCTGCCCCAAGCAATTGTGGACAGAAGTCTGACTACTTTTCCTATTTTTCCAAAATCTTTTCAAAAGGGGACTGGGGAAGTCATGCCCACAAACATTAACAGACCATTTATTTTCTATTAACAGGACTCTTCCTACCTCCTGT